GCGCACGCGCGCACGCGCGCACGCGCGCACACGCGTACATGCGTACACGCGAACACGCGCACACGCGCCACGCGCACACGCGCACACGCGCACACGCGCACACGCGCTCACGCGCACACGCGCACACGCGCACACGCGCACACGCGCACACGCGCACACGCGCACACGCGCACACGCGCACACGCGCACACGCGCACACGCGCACACGAGCACACGCGCACACGCGCACACGCGCACACGCGCACACGCGCACACGCGCACACGCGCCAACACGCGCCAACACGCGCCAACACGCGCCAACACGCGCACACGCGCACACACGCACACACGCACACACGCACACACGCACACACGCACACACGCACACACGCACACACGCACACACGCACACACGCACACACGCACACACGCCCACACGCACACACGCACACACGCACACACGCACACACGCACACACGCACACACGCACACACGCACACACGCACACACGCACACACGCACACACGAACACACTCACACACGCACACACGCACACACGCACACACGCACACACGCACACACGCACACACGCACACACGCACCCACGCACACACGCACCCACGCACACACGCACACACGCACACACGCACACACGCACACACGCACACACGCACACACGCACACACGCACACACGCACACACGCACGCACGCACGCACGCACGCACGCACGCACGCACGCACGCACGCACGCACGCACGCACGCACGCACGCACGCACGCACGCACGCACGCACGCACGCACGCACGCACGCACGCACGCACGCACGCACGCACGCACGCACGCACGCACGCACGCACACACACACACGCACACACACACACACACACACGCACACACACGCACAAACACACACACACGCACACACACGCACACACACGCACACACACGCACACACACACGCACACACACACGCACACACACACGCACACACACACACGCACACACACACACGCACACACACGCACACACACACACACACACACGTACGCACGTCTACGCACTCGCGTCATGCATAAACCTCTGCGTGCGCCCAGGCACACACACACACACGATATATGCATACGCCTGTGCACATGCACGCATGCACGCGCGCGCACGTCCAAATACATCCGGCGCACACGTCCGCGCCACTTTTCACTGCATGTGGTGGGCTGCTCGAGAGTGGCCTAGTCAGCTCCAACATGTACATCTGGGGGTGCGGGTCGACAACAACATATCGGCGGACGTCAAGGGTTCTATCACGTGTTTGGCCCGTGCTGGGCCTCCACAGGCTTCCAGGGATCTCGGTGGGATCCTGGTGACCTGATCCTCCCTGCCGCAAGCGCGGGCAACAGGGACGACGAACAAGAAACAGCACTGTGCTCCAGGCCTTTCCTGGGCGACACTGCGCTGCAACAAAACTGCGCCTGGGACTTCGGGGAGAGGGGGAGGCGGGATTCAAACTTACCATTTTTTCGTCGAAAATCCCCCTGTAGGGGGACACGCCCGACATAAACTTACCAGCCGCTGCCGCCTCCGAGGGTCCACACTCTCCGACGCTTTGCGGCCGCTCGTGGGCCTCCGCGGTGTTTTCTCCAGAGGAGCTGCCGTCGCCGCCTCTCGTCGCCATCGACGCGGTGGCCGCCGGGGGAGGGGGAGATGGAGATAGGGGAGACACAGGGGTTAGGGGAACAACAAGTGGCATAAACATAAAAACTCGGAGGTCCGCGCGGATTTCTCGGATCGGCGCTGGGGCCCCCCCGGCGGCGCCTCCGGCGCCGCCCCTGGCGCGCTCCGCGCGCCAGGGAGGGGGGTCCAGCGCTGATCCGAGAAATCCGCGCGGACCTCCGAGTTTTTATGTTTATGTCACTTTTTGTTCCCCTAGGGGTGGAGGGGGGCAGGATGGGGGCGTGGCAAGGAATGGGGGGGGGGGTAGAGGAAAGGGCGCGGAAGGGGGGGCGGGAGGTGGAGCGGGCAGGGATAACGGGGGCGGAGGGCATGAGGGAGATGGGGAGGGAGGCGTCTCGTCTCCCCCTTCCACATTCTCCCTCCCCCCCCTCCTCCTTCTCCTCTTCCCACCTCCTCCTACTTTCCTCTTTCTCCCTCCAGCCCCTGCTCCTTTCTCCCCGGAGGCGCGCGACTTCACGAGGTCGAGAGAGCACTCGCCCCCAGGGTCGCCTGCCTTCTGCAGGATCTCGGCGCACTCTGCGCTCCACCTTTTTTTTGTGTGCCGACGCTGTGGGAGTCCGCCTCACCCTTTTCTTCATGAGTCACGTGCCTGGCTTGGCGAAGCCAGGCGGGCCATGCCAGCTATACACATGTAACCTAGCTACAATTGAAAACCGTACCACTGCCATATCAACTCACACACTGGGAGACGAGCCTGAATCTGCGAGGCCCACACCTCAACAGAGAAGTCTCGCTCGCAGTGCCGGCGATACCGAAAAAACATGCGTGCCAAGAAAATACGCCGATCCCGCGACAGGGCAGGATGCAAGCTGCGACATTCATAACCTTACACCTCTGTGAGTTCCAGGTCTCCATGGAAACCACCAAACATTCGGCCAAGCAGGTGCTCCGTATCACTGCACCTGCCAGTGGGAGGACGCGGGGGAGAACAGAGGGGGATGTTCAAGACGAGCGAGGAGGCAAGAACACGCCGCACGGCGCAGGCTTGCAGGACCAGGGATTCCCCGGATGGGGCTGCCTCTGCGTCGGCCCGGAGAACGAGGAGCGAAAGGCTGCGGGGCGAGGAGGACTCCAAACGAGCTCGGACAGCGCTCGGCTTGTACGCCCAGGGTCTCCGGGAGAACTGCCGCTCCATCGGCCAGGCTGCACTTGGATGCGGCGCTGGGGCCGCGCATGGCCGTGGTTGAGAATTTCACAGCTGCACGCGGCCAGCCCATGGAGCCACGAAGTGCAGCCCAATTCGGAAAATTTGGAAAATCAAGAGGCCGCGCGCCCGGGACGGGATGCTCAGGGATGCTCAGGAATGCTGTGGCGGGTCGGCAGCAGCCGCCCCCGCCGTCGGATGAGCACACGCGTGTCAGGCCCCGGTGCGAGCGAGAGCGGAGTTCTCGTCGTCGTCCTCGCCGTCGCTCGTCTTGGCGGGGCTGATGGGCTCCTTCTCCCTCTCCTTGGTGGCGCCGCCGCCGTGGCCGCCAGCACCGCCAGAGACCACGTTGTAGGCTGCGAAGGCGATGATGTTGATGATGGCCGAGACGACCATGATGGCGCCGTACGGCGCCTGTGGCAGGTGGTCGATGCCGACCAGCAGGGCGAGCGGAACGGTGGCGGCCTTGTTGAAGTTGCCCGCGAACGCGACGTGGGTGGCCGACAGGTGCTGCACGATGCTGAACTGCAGAATGTTGTACACCAGCGAGGCCAGGGCGGAGCTGGCGCCGAACACGAAGGTGGACTTGCTGTGCTCCCAGACCTGGCCCACGACCCAGGCGTCGTTCGTGTAGCCGACCCCGTCCCAGTGCTTTACGGGGTGCTGCAACAAGAACATGAAGGGGAGGAGGATGATCGCGGCGGGGATGGAGTTATAGACCACGGTGTTGAACCCGTCCAATTTCACAGACGTCTTCAGGATCCCGGCGAGTGCCAGGTTCACGCTCCCCGAGAATAGGGACACCACGCAGTACATCACGCCTACCACGGTCTTCGCAGACTCGCCGGTTGCCCCCTTCTTGTGGGATTCCCCCTCGGCCTCGGCAGCAATCTTGGCCCAGACGCACACGCACATCATCGCAGCGCCTAGCATCATCAACCCGATCTCGATGGCCTTGCAGGGCTTCCCCTCTCCTGTCGTGTACTTCGTGAGGAGCCACTGCGCGAGGAAAGTCGAGAGGGGGAGACACGAGCGGATGATCAGATTCAGCGTCAGGGGGATGAGCGACATGGACATGTTGTTCAGGGCGATGTTCATCGTGAAGCTAGCCGAGAAGCACAGCACCGCGATGACCTCGTTCTGGGAGGTCAGCTTCTTGATCTCGATCTCTTTGTCTCCCAATTTGTTGAAGCCGAGCGCCTTCGCGGGGAGGAAGAGCAACCAGAAGATGACGAACCCACCGAATTGCTGTATCCCGGTAACGAAGAACGAGGCCTGGAAACCCATCCAAGCACACGAGTCACTCGCACTCAGCTCTGCACAGTACTTCGCTGGCGCTGGATCGAGGACGGTGGCGGTCGAAAAGACGGCCTTCATGTACATGTTCATTCCAGTTTGAGCGCCGAAGAAGATAAGCAGGAGGCCCGGCGTCATCAGCTGAGGGAACTTCTTTAGCATGCAGAGGCAAGCACCACCTACAATGCAAATGGCGGAGATGCCGAGTTCCTTCACCAACTTGAGGTCATCTCCGCCGCCGGAGACGTGCTGATGGCTTGTGATGTGAGAAGCCTCGAAGGAGATCAAGTGGCTGATAGCAGATGCGGAAACCGCCATGGCCGTCGCTGCTTAGTTGCTGCTACCCCCCAGAGCGCAGGCTGGGAATTGGCGTAATCAGCCCCTTAACCAGATCAACTTGAGCCAAGATGCCTACGGCACTCTGCGGCCCGCCTCTCTGCCTCCTCCTACCCCCCCCGCCTCCAACGCCTCCTCGTCTCCCTTCCAAACCGCAGGCTCCCTCCCCGAATTTTCCCCTCCATCCTGTCGCACCCACGGGCGTGCGAACGGGGCGAGACCTCCTCACCATCTATGACCCCGAAACTTGACATGTAGAACAGCTTCACGGATGCAGGGCGGGCCGTTTGCAGCAGGTGGCTCTCGCCCGAGCGCCGCGAGCATCATGGCGTCCAGCACAGAGGAACCCATTGCCAGCAACATTGCCGCCGCAGACTGGGCGTCCTTCCGAACCTCCCTCCTCCTCAATGCGATCCAGAACCGGTCCAGGCAATACACCGCACTGTAAACCGTAGCCAGATCAGGCACGGCGGAATGCACGTGCACATGCAACGCAAGCGAAGCAAAACAACACTACACTGCCACGTAGTTCAAAACAGCGCAAAGAACCGACGAACCAGAGGAGTTGTGTTAACCCAGAGACTTCAGACACACGGCGCCCATAGAAGATCCGGAGAAAGACCCAAGAGGACCTGGGGGAGGCTCACAAGGAGCCCCGAGGAAATTCCAAGAAGACTCAAGGGAAGGCTCCGAAAAGGGCTCCGGAGAGGGCTCCGAGAGAGAGGCGCAGGGCCCGGGGGTAGTCAAAACGAAATCGCGCGAGAGCGGTCTAGCGTGAATTTGACTTGACTCGTCTTGCGGCCCTCTTGGGGCCCTCTTGGAGCCCCCCAGTGCCGTCTCGGAGAGCCCCGAGCCCTGCGGATCCTTCCAGGGCCTTCCTGCAAACCTCACAAACTCCCCTGAGGCCCTCAGAACCTGCAAAAACTTTAGCATTCACGCGTGCACATGCGCACATACACGCGAGCATCCACGCACACACACACACACACGCACACACACACACACACTTTTAGCGATCGCGGCCTCGCGCGCAGCGTCGGGGCGGAGATAGTTACCGAACGGGTGGGCGCGCGTTCGCGGCGGGCCGCTCAGAACGTGCGGAAGTCCATATTGGACCAACTGTACCCTGCGCATACCCTGGCGTGGGCAACGATAGTCCATGTCGGATCAACTGTGCCGTGCGCATATCTTGGCGTGGGCAACGATGGTGCAGCGGGTGGAGGGGCAATGCCCGAGCCAAATAGGGGCACAGTACGTCGGACGACGGAAAGGGGGCAAGGACGGCCGAGGCCAAGATGGCAGCACGCAGCTGCAAGAGGCGGCAAGCGAGAAGGCCAGCCAGTGCGAGGCCGTGCGCGACAGCGTGGGCGCCATTGTGAACATCCACGCGCACACACATGCACCTTCACACTCACACTCACATTCACATTCGCGCTCACACACTCGCACTCGCATTCACATTCACTTCGCACATTCTCACATTCACGGTCACATTCACATGCACACTCGCACCCTCACTCACAGACAAACACACACAAACACACACACACACACACACGTACGCACGTCTACGCACTCGCGTCATGCATAAACCTCTGCGTGCGCCCAGGCACACACACGATATATGCATACGCCTGTGCACATGCACGCATGCACGCGCGCGCACGTCCAAATACATCCGGCGCACACGTCCGCGCCACTTTTCACTGCATGTGGTGGGCTGCTCGAGAGTGGCCTAGTCAGCTCCAACATGTACATCTGGGGGTGCGGGTCGACAACAACATATCGGCGGACGTCAAGGGTTCTATCACGTGTTTGGCCCGTGCTGGGCCTCCACAGGCTTCCAGGGATCTCGGTGGGATCCCGGTGACCTGATCCTCCCTGCCGCAAGCGCGGGCAACAGGGACGACGAACAAGAAACAGCACTGTGCTCCAGGCCTTTCCTGGGCGACACTGCGCTGCAACAAAACTGCGCCTGGGACTTCGGGGAGAGGGGGAGGCGGGATTCAAACTTACCATTTTTTCGTCGAAAATCCCCCTGTAGGGGGACACGCCCGACATAAACTTACCAGCCGCTGCCGCCTCCGAGGGTCCACACTCTCCGACGCTTTGCGGCCGCTCGTGGGCCTCCGCGGTGTTTTCTCCAGAGGAGCTGCCGTCGCCGCCTCTCGTCGCCATCGACGCGGTGGCCGCCGGGGGAGGGGGAGATGGAGATAGGGGAGACACAGGGGTTAGGGGAACAACAAGTGGCATAAACATAAAAACTCGGAGGTCCGCGCGGATTTCTCGGATCGGCGCTGGGGCCCCCCCGGCGGCGCCTCCGGCGCCGCCCCTGGCGCGCTCCGCGCGCCAGGGAGGGGGGTCCAGCGCTGATCCGAGAAATCCGCGCGGACCTCCGAGTTTTTATGTTTATGTCACTTTTTGTTCCCCTAGGGGTGGAGGGGGGCAGGATGGGGGCGTGGCAAGGAATGGGGGGGGGGGTAGAGGAAAGGGCGCGGAAGGGGGGGCGGGAGGTGGAGCGGGCAGGGATAACGGGGGCGGAGGGCATGAGGGAGATGGGGAGGGAGGCGTCTCGTCTCCCCCTTCCACATTCTCCCTCCCCCCCCTCCTCCTTCTCCTCTTCCCACCTCCTCCTACTTTCCTCTTTCTCCCTCCAGACCCTGCTCCTTTCTCCCCGGAGGCGCGCGACTTCACGAGGTCGAGAGAGCACTCGCCCCCAGGGTCGCCTGCCTTCTGCAGGATCTCGGCGCACTCTGCGCTCCACCTTTTTTTTGTGTGCCGACGCTGTGGGAGTCCGCCTCACCCTTTTCTTCATGAGTCACGTGCCTGGCTTGGCGAAGCCAGGCGGGCCATGCCAGCTATACACATGTAACCTAGCTACAAATGAAAACCGTACCACTGCCATATCGACTCACACACTGGGAGACGAGCCTGAATCTGCGAGGCCCACACCTCAACAGAGAAGTCTCGCTCGCAGTGCCGGCGATACCGAAAAAACATGCGTGCCAAGAAAATACGCCGATCCCGCGACAGGGCAGGATGCAAGCTGCGACATTCATAACCTTACACCTCTGTGAGTTCCAGGTCTCCATGGAAACCACCAAACATTCGGCCAAGCAGGTGCTCCGTATCACTGCACCTGCCAGTGGGAGGACGCGGGGGAGAACAGAGGGGGATGTTCAAGACGAGCGAGGAGGCAAGAACACGCCGCACGGCGCAGGCTTGCACGACCAAGGATTCCCCGGATGGGGCTGCCTCTGCGTCGGCCCGGAGAACGAGGAGCGCAGGTTGCGGGGCGAGGAGGACTCCAAACGAGCTCGGACAGCGCTCGGCTTGTACGCCCAGGGTCTCCGGGAGAACTGCCGCTGCATCGGCCAGGCTGCACTTGGATGCGGCGCTGGGGCCGCGCATGGCCGCAGTTGAGAACTTCACAGCTGCACGCGGCCAGCCCACAGAGCCACGAAGTGCAGCCCAATTCAGAAAATTTGGAAAATCAAGAGGCCGCGCGCCCGGGACGGGATGCTCAGGAATGCTGTGGCCGGTCGGCAGCAGCCGCCCCCGCCGTCGGATGAGCACACGCGTGTCAGGCCCCGGTGCGAGCGAGAGCGGAGTTCTCGTCGTCGTCCTCGCCGTCGCTCGTCTTGGCGGGGCTGATGGGCTCCTTCTCCCTCTCCTTGGTGGCGCCGCCGCCGTGGCCGCCAGCACCGCCAGAGACCACGTTGTAGGCTGCGAAGGCGATGATGTTGATGATGGCCGAGACGACCATGATGGCGCCGTACGGCGCCTGTGGCAGGTGGTCGATGCCGACCAGCAGGGCGAGCGGAACGGTGGCGGCCTTGTTGAAGTTGCCCGCGAACGCGACGTGGGTGGCCGACAGGTGCTGCACGATGCTGAACTGCAGGATGTTGTACACCAGCGAGGCCAGGGCGGAGCTGGCGCCGAACACGAAGGTGGACTTGCTGTGCTCCCAGACCTGGCCCACGACCCAGGCGTCGTTCGTGTAGCCGACCCCGTCCCAGTGCTTTACGGGGTGCTGCAACAAGAACATGAAGGGGAGGAGGATGATCGCGGCGGGGATGGAGTTATAGACCACGGTGTTGAACCCGTCCAATTTCACAGACGTCTTCAGGATCCCGGCGAGTGCCAGGTTCACGCTCCCCGAGAATAGGGACACCACGCAGTACATCACGCCTACCACGGTCTTCGCAGACTCGCCGGTTGCCCCCTTCTTGTGGGATTCCCCCTCGGCCTCGGCAGCAATCTTGGCCCAGACGCACACGCACATCATCGCAGCGCCTAGCATCATCAACCCGATCTCGATGGCCTTGCAGGGCTTCCCCTCTCCTGTCGTGTACTTCGTGAGGAGCCACTGCGCGAGGAAAGTCGAGAGGGGGAGACACGAGCGGATGATCAGATTCAGCGTCAGGGGGATGAGCGACATGGACATGTTGTTCAGGGCGATGTTCATCGTGAAGCTAGCCGCGAAGCACAGCACCGCGATGACCTCGTTCTGGGAGGTCAGCTTCTTGATCTCGATCTCTTTGTCTCCCAATTTGTTGAAGCCGAGCGCCTTCGCGGGGAGGAAGAGCAACCAGAAGATGACGAACCCACCGAATTGCTGTATCCCGGTAACGAAGAACGAGGCCTGGAAACCCATCCAAGCACACGAGTCACTCGCACTCAGCTCTGCACAGTACTCCGCTGGCGCTGGATCGAGGACGGTGGCGGTCGAAAAGACGGCCTTCATGTACATGTTCATTCCAGTTTGAGCGCCGAAGAAGATAAGCAGGAGGCCCGGCGTCATCAGCTGAGGGAACTTCTTTAGCATGCAGAGGCAAGCACCACCTACAATGCAAATGGCGGAGATGCCGAGTTCCTTCACCAACTTGAGGTCATCTCCGCCGCCGGAGACGTGCTGATGGCTTGTGATGTGAGAAGCCTCGAAGGAGATCAAGTGGCTGATAGCAGATGCGGAAACCGCCAT